TTTGCACATGAACAGGAAAATGGGACGAAGCTCTCTTTTTGAGGTGCCCGACGACCTCTCAGATTTCGAAAAGGAAATCCTCAAACGGTCAAAACAACTAGGTTTGGTGTCTGTGTACCGTAGTTTCGGTTGTGACTCCGCCGGGGCAGCTTTTCACGCAGAACCGGCGCGACGCAGCCGCTCACGTCGCCCACAAAAGTCTACTGCACGTTCTCTTCGATCTCACACCATTTCAACGAATTTGAGATCGCTGAAAGGGCCCTAAAAGTACTTCAAAAGTGAAGCGTCGTCTGCTCACGGCAACAGGCGGCAACAAGGAGGCGAGCGGCCGATCGCGGGACGCGGACGAACACGGCACTTCGGGTCGGGGCGGAGGCGTGAGAGAAACTCGAGTTGCAGGACGGCCCTATCTTGGACGCGTGGGAACTTCAAATACGAATTAAAAAAAAACAACTTTTTTTTAAATTTTATTTTGAGTTCCGAAGTTTCGAATTTTGAGGGTATACCCGGCATTGTTTTCAATCGTTTCAGATAATAAAAAAATAATAAAAAACGATTTTGACCTTTCCGTGGTTTTTTAATGTCAGCTCGATTTGAGCATGCGCTCCAAACATCGCCCTCAAATATGGCGTCGAGTGATTACCCACCATTGGCTCTGCAGAAGCAGATTTTGGAAAACAAAAAAATTATTAATTTGTTGAACTTTTTTTTTTTTGTGGTAGTTTGTTTTCGGATGATTTTTTTTAAATGGAAGTTTAGCTGATTTTAAAAGAAGCTCTCGCTTTATCTTTTTCTTTCTTGTTGAGGCAAAGATTTGCGCCCCGAACGGCCCTAGTCTTGAAAAAGGGAACGAACAGTGGTTCAAAAATCCGGATAGAAAAGTCATGGTGGTGTTGTGCCCCTTCCTTATACACCCATCCATTGCCTATAATCCAGTCGAATAATGCCGAGGAACTGCGCTATGGACGGATGCGCGACGTCTGATGAATAACGTGTTACAGGCCTTGATGGGTGACGTGAAGGATAACCCAAACTTCTTTCTCCCTAGACAATTGCTTCCTAAAATAAAAATAATCACCCGTCACTAAAAAAAAAAAAATATATATCGTCCGTGTTTTTGCAGATTTTAATTGTTCCCATCTTTCCCAACACACTCAGCACAGCCACCGTGCAACGTCATGTTGAAGATAAGAAAAAAAAACATAAAATTTAGAGCCAGGAGGTGGCTGATGCCTCGTCACTAACACTGTCGGGATCTCTTTTTTTTTTCTTTTTTTTCTTTATGTCAGTGGCGTAATGCGTTTACAATCGTCGTAAAAAAAAGACATACTTCGTATTAATGTCACTATCAATTCTTACAAACATGCGACTTGCAACATATCTTTTTTTTTTTTGTAATGCCTTCGTATCTTACGTTATTAAAAAAAAGACGAGGGGCAATTAAGATTGGGGGAGGATGACGCGGAGTTTCGGCCTACTTCTTCGCCTGCAAATATATTTTATTTTTCGCGTTGAAATATTTTTTTACCGTTCTGTCGCATGTGAAGCATTTGAGATCATAAAAAAAATTTAGCGATGTTGGGGATGTCTGTGCCTTGGTGCCGTCGCGTACACCGTGTTGCATTTACACCATAAACATCAAACTCCAAAACCAGCGAGTAGAAATGGCCTCAGCTGACGCCGCATCGGGGCCGTCTCTTGCGCTGAAGCTTTGAACAGATGGTGGTGCCCACTCTTTGGGTAGTACAAGCTCTCCTGATTATGCCTCGCACTAAAAGCGATCTTGCTAAGCTTTATATATATATATATATATTGTTGTTGTTACACTTTATTAAGATAAGGATGGCGCGACGGCCTGGAGGGGACGGTTTACAGGGGGGATTAAAGAAAACGAGAATTAAGGTTATATCCTTCGGTCAATGCCCGTCGCGCGCGCAAAGTCTCAGAGGGACAGCAGCGTCTCTTTCGCACAGGCACTACTCTTGGGGTTAATCCAGTCCTCGTAGGCACGCACACTGGGGTCTAGAAAACAACTCCGTTCAGTTTGGAGCCCCGCATACTCTCACAGTAGATGTCAGACCGTAGGGGGAACACCTGTAGAACATGTAGAGCAGGTCACCGCCGGGCTGGGAGCCTCGGTTGACTGCGCTGACTCTCTCTTTCTATATATATATATTGTCACGGGTGGTGACCAAAATAACAATAAATAAACAGGAAGAAATAAACGTTTAATGTGGCGAACTTGTGCCAAAACAAGAAGGGAATAGAAAATAATAACAAAGCGTCGCGAGCGTCGAAGTCGGCGAGACAGCAGGATCGAGTGCTGTAGCGAAACTGACTCCGGCTTTCCACGCGGAGCCGCTTTTGTACACGCGTGGGCTTCTGGAGCATTCGGCGTAGAAGGTTCGGCGCGTAGAACATTCTTTTCGTTTTCCCGTCAACGTGGGCGTTCCGAGAAGGTGAACCGTTCAAGATTTAAGCAGCTAAGCAGGCCGGCGCTCTCTTAATGCCCGCTCGAAGCGTGTTAAACTTTTTAATTAGGTACGCTTCCCTTTGCTCCCTTTCGCGTGCTGAATCCTGATTGAAGTATAGTTACAAATAATTTGTTTATGTCGTGTTGATTGAGACACATATGTTTGGAGAGTGGGAGTTCGGGGAGTGTGTTAAGGTGGGTCTTATGATTGTTAAATCTTTGACGGAAGGGGAGATCAGTCTGTCCAATATACTGCATGTTTCATACCCGGCAGTGCAACAGAGAGACAACATTAGCTGAGTTACAGTTATAATTTCCGTTTATCCTAAAGGTGAAGTCCGAATTTGTACTTTTTGCCTCCACGGATTCCGTCATGTGGCTACACACTTTGCACCGCGGCACCCGGCATGGCCGAGATCGCAGGAACTCCTCATGGGTGGTTTTGGATCTTAGTAGCATATATAAATATATATATATAGTAGTGTTGAAGAACAAAAAAAAAAAACACCTTTTAGCCTTCAAAATTGGCAAGATTCAACGCCGTAAAACAATCAAGAGTGCGGGATTCATTCCACCAACGTTATACTCAGAAGCTCCGCCTTCAGCACGAGCTCGCTGGCTTCCGCAGTGCTTTGGTTGCACGTGCCTGAGCGTTCGCACTTGTGTTAGCGAGGGTAGAAAGCTCGCGCTTAAGGCGAAGCTACACTCTGAGCGGTGACGTCAAAATGCCTGGCGTCGCAACGCTTCTTTTTCTTTTCCTTTTTGTTTTACTTTGCAAAGCGTGAAATGGCGCCTATGGGCTAACGATCTTAACGCCTCGGCTTTGATCTGTGCTATGGCGACGTTCGAAAGTTAGCTTTCTTTTTTTTTCTCCTGATCGCGTTCCACACCAGAGCAGGCACGTACGCTCCTACACGTATGATAATGTGCGACGCGCAAGTTTCTACTACCCAAAACGTGTAGTTTTTCGCAGTGTCCCCTGGGCAACGCAAAAGGCATATTGTTGTCTCGGCGCGCACAGCACGTATGCATTCTGGGCATTAGATTCGCACCACCAAATTCATTTTTGTTTTCCCGGGAAGGAGGAGTAGGAGTGACCACCAGCGTGATGCTGTCCCAGCGGCGTCACCTTGGGCAAAGGAAGGTTCAATTCACTTCTCCCCCACCAGCTTTCGTTTTAAGGTCTTATCGGCTGGTGTGCCTGTTCTCTTATATCTTGCCCACATCTGGTCACTTATCTATACAAATCTTTCTAAATCGCGGTTTCTGAAAGCCAAAACTAACAAATTAAACGAGCGAATTGTTTTTCGATCAAGGGGGAGACCGTCTTTGATTTCGAAGGTAACGTAGAACGCCCTGTGCCGAGGGATAAATGCTAAATACAAGCATGGCAGATTAGGTTCGCCTTCTTAATGGCGTAAACAGATTACTGCGCATCGACAACGTGCATTAAATGAGACGCGAGAGGACTGAGCGGTCGTCACTTACATGCTTGACAGTGCCCGACAAGGATATTCGATCCGCCTTCTTCGGTGTTCTATCCCATCTGATCAACGGTTGGCTCGTTTTGGCCCTGACCGTTTCTTCACGCGAGGATGGCGCGCTACCTCCTCTTCTTCTCGATCGTCAACCGCAAACAGTGTTTAGTCGAAGTCACCTCCAGAATAAAATTTTAAGAACGACTAAATTATATTTAAAAAAAAACAATAAATGCAATCAATCTGACTTTTTATCGTGCTAATGTTGCGGGGAGTTTAGCGTTCAGCACTGCTGTACGTGGAGTGTTAGCTCGTGATATGAAACCACAAAGCCGCCCGACCACCGGAAACATGACTGGCTGCTTGCCTTCGCTAAAGGCTTTAGCCTTCGCGCGGGCAGGGAGCCCCCCCCCCCCCCCCCCCCCCCTTGTGCATATTTTTTTCTGTACTTTTTGTCCCATCTCTCTCCCCCACCGCTTCATATGTCTACAATCAAGAGACACGGCGGCTCATTTATTTCATTTCATGTAAATAGAAGGTTTCAACGAAAACTCGGTCGTCTGCGAACACGTCCGCCGATGACCCTGGCGAGTGTGTGGGTCTCACTTTCACCGAAACCGAGCTAAGCCTTTAAATTTCACCAGGTAAAATTAACCACCACAATGCACATTTGGTGAAAGTTCGAGCTTTCTACGTGCAGGCATCGATTTTTCCGGCTCGACTTACAGCGCTGGGTTGCATAGTGGACACTCCACAAACTATATGTTATTACGTTGCTTTTAGCGACTACAGTGTTGGAAGAAGTGGAGAAAGATCTTCTGGAGGTCTCCGGGTGTCAGCGGACGTTTCACTAAGAGACTTCTTCAGTTCTAGCGAAACGTAATCTGCTGCCTTGAGGCTCGCAGGAAGCTCCTTTAAATCTCCGTATTAGTGTTAATCAAATAACAAAATTCAAAGCCCAGTAATTAGAACTCGAAATAATATAACAAAAACACATAATCTTCCATTGCTTTCAACTTGGGCAAGCGTTCACTTTATTGCGGTGACTTCTATCGAAAACCGGCAGGCCCTAACTCAAAGCCGAAGGCCTGGTGTTCCCCTCCGAAGTCGATGGGCTGGAAGTCCACGAGTGGCAGTGTCGCTGGTCGCTTGGTTTTGAAGTCGAAAATTGTCTTGCCGTCCCTGTACTGTGAATAATTAAACAAATTGTAGGGCGCTTAAGCTTCTTCGCCTTTAAGAGCGGAACGCGATAGCGTTATCGGGCCCCGTTCGCATCGCCTTTTCATTCCGTTCTCGTGCTCTTCCTGCCAGTGAGCAGGAAGTACGGCGGACGTGGCCTCGTCAGTAGCGTGTCTGGCTCGCAACTGAGGAAAGGTCGTGAGTTCGAATTGCGCCTATAGCTCTTCAAATTTCATGTTAAGGAAAATGAATTATTTGATAAAGTGAAATCATTTGAGACATGCGGAGCCCTTTGATGAACATTACATGTCGTTTCTTTTTTTAATCACGTTCATTCCACGCGTGATGTCACGTTTCACGTAAGTGTTGTGGTTTGTTCGAAATTCTTGGGCGAGGTCATGTGGCTGTGAAGTAATGACCCTACCGACCAATCAGGATTTTCCCGTCACAACGCCACCGACGCCGACTTTTCTGCGACACAAAATATCTTAACGCTGTCGCGTTAAAAAGAAAAATTAGTAGCGCAGTGATTAAAGTCGTTTTTGCTCCGACAGCGTGTCAGAACAGGCGAGTGTCTTCGAAAGGATAAAGTCGAAAGAAAATTTACTCTAACAACTTGGTCCATGTACGTAGTCTTTGATTCACGAGGTTGAGTGTTTTTTCGTTTAGATCATTTGGTTTCTATCACAGCCATTAGAGCGAAAATATTGGAGTTTCATAGGCTGCCACAGGGTGGCTTTGACTTTTGAGAAGGGTATATTGAATGACTTGCTAGGGCTGCTGATGGCGCTGTTTCAGAATGATGTCCGAAGCTTTAGCACAAGCGAACATTGGCCAATTTTAGAAGAAGCTGAATATATATATATATATATATATATATATATATATATATATATATTAGCGGAGTTAATTCCGCTGTTCTTTTATGTTATGGGATGAGTTTTAGAGGTAACTGTAAAAATAACCTAAAGCCGTTCTACCTAAAACCCCTCTATCCTGGGAAAAGTGGCGCCATTTATTGTTCCGGAAATGCTGGAGACACGTTCCCCGCGCCACTTCTGGGAAGAACATTGCGTCTGAAATCTAGCTCAGCGCTGCGCTGTGCCGCCATTATCTTCCCAAGGGCTCCAAGTTGCACGCCCCTCGTGCATCGACGCACCTTGCGCTACTTTTAAAACATGAAAGGGCTTTAGTTCGACCAAGCCATTCTGAACTAGGAGGTGGGAAACTTTCATTGCGCCGTTATATTTGTCTATTGTCATTTGGTAGTTATAGAATAGTGGGCCTCCACGCTTTGGGTCTTCTAAACAACTTGGGGCGTCGCACTGCGCATGCAAAGTGCAACGCGCCTAGCTGTTTGGGGGACCAAATTTTTAGGACCCCTTATACTAAACCTCTCTACTGATGACAACGGCGCCTACTCACCTGGCAGTCATCCAAGGATACCATAGGACTGTTTTTCTTATACGTCATCAGCTGTTCGTTGTGACCCAAGAACCGAAGCGCGTTTCCGTGGTCCTTGGTTTTCTGGCTGTACCAGGCGTTCACGTTGGTGCAGACGAGCGTGAAATTCTGGTAGCCCTCAGTGCTCAGAAGGGTAAGGAACCGAAGCTGAACATCCCCGATCGTGCCGTACCTCAGCTTGAAGCCTCCCTTGAGCTCACTGAACCACGACGTCTTGTTCTTCGCGTCCCGCGTCCCCTTGTCCCACTTGGACAAACGGACGGAGCTCACGTCTCCGTCCGCGTACACGCACGAATCTCCGCCGGACGTAATGCCGCAGAAGACGCGGACGGCGTCGTCTGCGACGCCCAGGTTCGGATCTATCCAGTACCAGCCGTCTTCGAAGTCCGGATGTGCGAACTGGAGGTCGCGACACGTCCTGGCGGGGTTGCGTTTGGAGCCCACGGGATGCCGGAGATGCTCGATTTCCTTACGCAGTACGTAAACGTTGGCGTAAATGTGGGTGAGCGTCTTGTGGATGTCGGCCGTGCGGTTCTTTTTCTGGCTTTCCGGCAGTGTAGAGTTGTCGATGGTATCTTCGTTGGCAGTGTTGTCGTAGTCCTCCTGGTTGTCCTCGCCGTCGTCGATGCTGGTTTCGGAGAGGTCGCGTTTGAAGCGAGATCGGTCTCGTTGAAAGAGCATCTCTGGTGGGATTTGGGGCCCTTCACCTGGAGGGCCCTGTAGTTGAGCCAAAAAGTCCGTTAGACGTTGATCCGAACTAAAAAATGTAACTGAACGTATCTTACACACCACCGTATAGGCGTGCTAGAGTTCGGTGTAATGTAATATGTTGTATAATGCATATATTGCGCACAAATATAAGTTGTCTTGTAGTGTCCACCACCAATTTAAAAAAAAAAAAGAACAAAAGATCTATTGGGGCCTTCGTTTCGCAATTGATATTCCATATCAGCCCTTCTCTATACAAGGAAAACATAGTGATGGCGGCGAGCTGTTTATAACCATAGGCGGTAAAGTGCATGAAATTTGCTGCGAGATATCAGCTTGTTCATAGAGTGTATTAAAGTACTATAAGCAACCATATGAAACAGAACAGACTTCCTCGCTTTCTTGACATACCTACAAATTTTGTAACATGTTATAATCCCGACGAAAGCTAGAACATAAAACTTAGATCCCAAACTACATACTGTTTAATAGTTTGAGATATAACGAATATTGTGGGAGCCGCGAAACTGGAAAGAAGATTAACCGTTCATTTCGTGTTATTGCCAATAGTACAGGTACGGGAGAGAGCAGACTCCTTGCGTATTGATTTCTTTTTTAATAAGCTTTTTTGGTTCGTTATTGTTTTGTCATGCATTCTATCGCAATCGTTGCGGTGTTATAGCAATATGTATTTAAATAAGGCCAACAAAGGATCATTTTTACTCACTCTACGACAATTATATTGCTGCCGAGTTCAAACAAAGACGTAATCGCATACAGAGACAGCTATTATCATTCGAGAATTTGAATATACCTGAAATTTGATCTTCCCAACTGTGCTATAGTTTGTATCTGTATTATGCGCCCCTGAGAATCTCACAAGATTGGTGCGGGCACTATACAGAAAAAACAAAAACAAAAATATTTTAGTACTCACCGGTTCCGAAAATCTCAGCGTAAGAAGTTATGTTTCCACACTTACAGGCGGTCCTGTCTCCCCTTTTGCCCCAGCTGGACCCTTAAATATAAGGAAACAAACGCGTTTTCACATTAGGTTATTCCCGGTGCATCTGGCAAGAAAACATGAAGATATGGCTTACCTGGACTCCCTTAGGACCAGCAATGCCTTCGGGTCCCTTAAAAATAGGGATCACACAAGCAGAAAATAAATATTCAATATTACCCGATGTAAATATTTATGGTTAAAACGCGATCGAAACAAAAACTGCTTACGGGGTCTCCCTGTGGACCGTCAGCTCCTTTCGGACCTTCTGGTCCGATGGCACCCTAATAAAGTCAGTAAACAAAGTCGTCAGATAGTTTCTAGCAACACGAAAATCTTGATGTCTTATTTGATAAGACCTGGTCTAACGTTCATCACAATCCCAATAAGTTTACTCTCGTAATACCCTGAGCTCAGTTCATCGAGACTTGTTATCCAGCAGAAATAGAACTTGAGGAAATAATTTTGTTTAGATAAATTACCGTGCTTGAGGACGTCACCTAGACTGATTTGATGTCTCGCGCTCAAGGTACACGATACATACAAGTACGTAATTAAGGCAGTTTTAATGGCAGAAACACAGAAATTGTGGCGCCCTGCAAGTTGAGCCCCATATATACACCGTTTCACCGATGGACCGTATAGCAGCCACTGCAAGCTATCCCAGCCAATCTAGCGCTGTGAATGTGCAACCGGACTACGCGCCCGGCGTGTCGCTGTGCCCTTCCCTAAAGGGCACAGGGACACGTTTTTAGAAGTCGTTCCCCAGGGAAAGACTTCTAATTTTCGGTATTAGTTCATGTCACTGAGACCGAGCTCTCATCTTTTTGCATATGCAAACCGAAATCATAATGTATTTCAGACCATACATCAACCCCTATTTCCGCAAAGAGCAGACCCTTCCCCCTTAGGTATGTATGTTTCTGTATGTGCAACATCGTCTATCTATCTCTAAGTGACTGTTTTACTTTTCTTCTTTTTTTTTCCTATTCACCGTATCCTCTGGGAGTCAATACTTAAAGACGGTGACAAGTTAGGAGTTCAGGTGAAGCTTGTTTTGCAGCTCTTTCCACTTAGCAGAGCAAACGCTGGAGAAAAGGTCACCTCCTCTCTAGCGTTTTGCCAAAGTGGAAAGAGAGGAGAGTAGCTTCCCCTGAACTCTTAACCAGGCACTGATTATAGAGTCTTGTTTTTAGGGGAAGAAAATCACGCCTGTGCTCAGCCACCTTCTTTTTTCCCCTGTGCCGTACATGACTGCCTACTTACTCCCGCAACAATCATTAATCTGTGTGCGTGTGTGCGCGTTTGCTCATTTCCGAGCTGGTATAGAACTCTGTACTTAGCTGTCAGTTCCAAGAACTGGCGGCTAGGTAAAAAACAGGCAAACAATTAAGTGTGTTCATCAATCATGCACTCGTGTGACATGACGAAAACTTAAATCTCACCCAGACAAAATCAATATTAGCAAATCGCTGAATCCCGCTCGGCTGAACTCGCGATGATCCGACATTTCGATGGAATGAGCGAAACACTCGTTGGTCGCTAGAATCGGAGCCCTGAACTCACGTACACAGTTCGTTCGCCCGTTTTGCAGACACAAATTGTGAAGGAAAATATATTTGTCCATCACAATCTGTAGAGCTACAGTATTAAATCAAAACTCGGTGTTCAGACCAGTAAACATAACTTACCCGATTGAAAGATGCTATGTAGTTCTTGGTCAACGAATGTAGCAACTTCCCAGTTTTTTGACTGAACAGGTCCGCATACAGACGCGCATCAAACTTTTCGTTGTAGGTGATCCTCACTGCTCCAGGTGCAACGCTTGCCATCGTTTCAAAAGCAAAACGCCTGGAAGTAATGAACTGTTTGGGGCACAAATATATTATTACCGACGCCACATAGACATGAAGTGTTTACTCTTAGACTGCACGTGTGCCTCTCGGTGGCACGTGCGCTGGGTAGGAGATCGAACTATTAGCAGCGAGATGTTTTGGTGGCGCCCTCCTATGGTTCCCTCTCGTGACGTCATTACCTTCCGAACAACAAGTTCGATGGTGTTTGTAAATAGCATGGTGGAAGCTTGAAAGCATTGCGCTCTTAAAGCAACATTACCAGCACCGTCCAAATGAAAGTTCTTACATTCCTCTTATTTCCGTCGATGATAAATCCTTTGCTGACGTCATAGTCAGCATTCGGCCAATCGTGGAAGGCCGACCACAGCGACGCTTTCGATCGCGCACGTCACCAATAGGGCGCGCTTTATCGAGCTTGTTGTCCACACAGCCCGGTGTCTACTAACGATCCATAACAGACATTGAAACTCGCCCAGACCGTACGTGATAGGCGAAATTCCATTTTTTTTTTAAAGCTTTACAGATTTGTTTGTGCTAGAAAAAAAAAGGTTCGAGGTACACCTAAGCTCTTATGAGTTGTGAATGCTAAAGCATGCATGTCGTTCTTCCACTCCCTTATTTCGTCTGCGGCGTACTTGCATGGGCGGCCGAGCTCGCGCTCTCCTCGCTGCGCCAACCTTGGGCATGGAGCCGTTACATCGCTCGGTGGCGAGACGCTTCGTGTTACCGGCGTGCTGGCGGCAAGGACACGCAGCGCCATGCGGTGGCGGTCATTGAAACTGACGCGCAGCTGCCAATAGGAGCCTCGTTCCTTGAAACTATGACGCGCGCAATGGGACCGAAGCCAAAATCCATGAGATTTCGGCTTCACCAATAGGAGCGGGGAAACTAGGTGCCGTTTGGCTAGGCTTTTCGCGCGGCATCGAAGCTGGGAGCCATCAGATCTCGGCTTCACTTGAAAAAAGCAGTTTAGGTGCCGTTTGGCGCGGCTTCAAATCTGATGACGTCGGCTCTTTCCAGGGTGCAGTTAATGCTTTCGTATTAAAAATTTGGTTTGTTGTCCCCACAAGTGAAGCACAGTGCTAGAGGCGTGACTATTCGATCTCCTCCCCAAGACTCCGTTCACCTTTAGACTGAGACTGCAGCCAGTGCCACAAGCACGAAAGCTCGAGGTCGCAGCTTTGAAGCACTCGCAGCTTCGAAGCACAGAACGAGCACTCGCGCTAGAAATTCACTTTCCAAAGTCAGGAGTGCGGGTTCGCTCGCGCCTGTAGCTTTGGCTGTAGTCTTAGCTTAAAGGCCCCTACGCTGAGTTGCGTTTGCGAGCGTTTGAGTGCATTTGACTGCGTTGCGTCGAGAAACGAAAGCAAGTCGCCGTCACACATGTGCTTCGAACGAAGCCTAGCTGGTATCCAACTCAAGGAGTAGCTTTGGCACGCGACATACGAAGCAGTGATGTGTTGGTTTCTGCAGCCGCAACGCAGTCAAACGCACTCGAACGCTTTCAGGCGCAACTGTACATAGGGGTCTTAAGGGTGAACAGAGCATGCATATGCGGGAAAATACTCCGTCCATCGATCCTCGAGGCTAGAAGCTTCGCCTTCAGCGCGACCTCAGTGGCTTCCGCAGTGCTTAGGCTGCGCTTGCCTGCGTGTTCACATATTTGTTAGCAAGGGCAGAAATCTCGCGCTGAAGGCGGAATTTCTAGTCTTAGCTTAAGGATGAACGGAGTATAGTCTCGCGTTTGACAAGCTTTGCCTTTTTCCTGCAGTGTTGAGTTCTTGTAAAAATTTCCACGAGTTCTCAAAGGCCGCTACGACCCTTTACACAGGGTTTTCAAAAACTTCTTCGGCGAATGACGGCGAACGAGCGGAAAACATGTCTTTCAGCTAGAAGTCGCCTGGCCTCTGCAACGTTTCACCCGGAAGATTTACGCAGGCCCAAGATGACTGATTCGGAACTTTCGGTGGTCGCACTCGCGATGTAGCGACCAAACAGAAAAAAGCGATCCAAACAATTGCTATAGAGAACAGTGGCGGTGACCCATAAGTGCCTCGATCAACTTTCTGTCATCGAAAGGCTTTCGGCAGTCCTTTTGCCAAGAGGCTCATCAGACCGCACTTTGAAGAAAGCGCTTACGCAGCCGATTTATCTAATTTGTGTCTCGTGCTCTACTGACGCCTCGAACGTACGAACCTTCCACAGGATTTTTTTTAAAGCTTACAGATTTGTTTAAAAAAGAAAAACGGGAAAGCTACACTAATGCGGTTTGTGCGAGTGAGTTAAACGCCCAGGGGGAGATGATATGGGCGGCTAATCTTTGCGATAAGTCGGCTAATTAATCAAAATTCGAAATCCTCCGCTCGGTAGTATTTTCCTCAGCCACAAGAAGGCCGCCATCAGTTTGACACAGATGCCATACACTGAGATCATACTAGGGATCAGAGCTGCCAAACTGAACATCGGAGAGGGTCTGTTGGCCCGAATGTGAAATTGAACGTGATAAATGGACTCACCTGTGATTACAAAAACAAACGATTCCAGTGCCACTGATTTCTCCTCGGAATTTGGTACGCGGCGCGCTCGATAGCTGAGTTTTCCGCTTGAAACCGAAACGCCTAATCCAGGATGCGACCGTTTGTTCGCTGCGATACGCAGAAACGTCGTTCACTTCCGCCCGATAGGTATACGTCATGCAGCACACCGGAAAGTCATGGCGGCGCAGCACTATGCTCGTTGCTGCCTCGGGCCTTCAAGGCGCCATGTTCTTCCTACAGCTGGCGTATACAGCTGCATCACTCGTGTCCCAATGTTTTACTATTGTTTTGCCAAATCATGTACGGGGTGAGCACCATGCGCATGAAAAGATATAACATTCAAAAACTAAATTCGTGTGTTTTGTGTTTCAATGATAGCAGACTGGGAGTTTCCTGTTCAAGCGGGAGAACCTATTATTTGTCTCTAATTTTTGTGTCTCTCTGTGTTTTTTTTTTAATTGTTTTTCTGGCTATGTCGGGTGTTTCAGTGGCAGCAATTCTCGTTCGTGAAGGGGTAGAAAAACTTGAGTTGTCCGGGAAACGTGTCCCCTTGACACGAGTAACCATAACCAAACAATATTTTTTTTTTATTTATTTACGAACGAGCATAGTATCAGCGCAGCTTGGCCTGCGCCATTTATGGAAACAGCCTCAGGTTAGCGCAGCACAATCTCTAGAATGTTTCTCTCCAGCGTTGAACCAGTATCGCCGTTCTCGAATGCAGGTCGACCTCTGGTCGTAGCAGCAGTCGCAACAACGTTCAATTTCCTTTGGTTCGCTCGGCTGCGTCTCGTCAGGTTGAAAAGCCGCAGTGACATTGCTCATACATCATACGAAAGACACGGGCTATGTTCCAAATCTTACCCGAGTAACCCGTATCCTACGTCAGAGGGCAATACCACGTGGCACCGTGAGTAAGCGATCCGCTACTCGATTTTGGTACGGCAGGGATAATCACCTGGATACTACGCGGATTGGCTTCGTCTTGGGCGACGGCTGATCAGAAACCACATAGAGACCATAATGTTAACTGTTTCGAAGTCTTTCTCTGACAGTGACGACGCGTTTTTTTTTGTTTTTTTTTAGATGCCTTAACAAGCTTCTTTTGCTCACCTTCCTTTTGGGCAGCATTCTGAAATAAAAATTACTTATTCTTTTCAGTGAGACATCAATATTTTTGCTTTGGTTAATCTGCACGATCGCCGTAAGTCTAGTACAGCTGCCATGAACAGCTTCAATTCATCGTAATTAGCACCGATTACGTTTTGCGTATATTTACTTCCACGCGATGTATATTTACTTCCACGCGGTGTAGCGGTAGAGCGCATGGGGATTTCTCAACAGTGATACGTAACTTACGTTCACTTTGCCGCTAATATGATTATAAAATCACAGAGTGCACATCGAAACCGCTAAAGACAATTTATTAGAGAGGGAGATGCGGTGGGGTTGTTGACTGATCGTGTACATAAAATCTTCGATGCCTTCACTGCTTTGCAAGCAGACAAAAAAAAAAAAAAAAAACTTTCGCATTATCTACTGCGTTCGAACGAAGCTTTTAACGTAAGAATACGGAGTTCCCTCCAACGCCGAGGACGAGGATGCGGAGAAACTCCTGTTTACACTCGCATTCTGACAATACCAAGTATACCTTCCTGAGGGACGGTACACGGTCTGGATGGGATGCAGTCAATTCCTGCGTTGAAAACAGCTAATCGCAATAACCACACATAAATGGCTGCACCTCATTCTTTGTTATTTCGAACGTCTGCCGCCAAAGCCAACGGAGCCAACGAGGTTTGACGGCTGTCGGCGCAGGAAGCAGACGACGAACAGATCACGTGACGCATTTACTCGATTTCATCCGGCGTTACCCCCAAATCGAGGAGGGTAGCGTGAGTAATTACTCCGGAGTAAACAAGCCGCTTCTGGAATGCGAGTTCTGACGTCATCGAGTAAGCGCGAGTAAGTTTTGAAACGCCATGGCACGAAACATTTACTCCGAAGTCGGATCGAGTGAATTCTTGAACACAGCTACGGTTTTTCTGTGGACACGATGACAAAATCGTTTGCTGACAGTTTCGTACGACCAATGTGACAGTTTTACAGGGAAGAAATTATACGTCTCAGGACACTGACTGCAGACCGTATTTTGTTTGATATGTCGTAGCAATGGCCGCGGCTATATACAGGATGTCACAAAAAAACATTTACTAATTATATTTTTTTTTACCGCAAACATAAACTAGGCATCGCCGAATGCTCATTCTCTGCCCAAAGGCAGCGCTATAGATCACAACCAGATGCCGCAGATGCCAAAGTTTCACCTCGATCCGAACATTATTCAAAAGTTATAAGTAATTTTCTGAAAATTTCAATGGGAAAATGGACCCCATTTTTTTTCCCGTTTTTGTTTTCTGGTGCTCATAGAGCCCCATG